CAGCAGACGGCTGAACTAGCACGATTTTTTGAACGTGTCCGTAATATGGTACCGAAGACCTCGACACTGGAACGACCAATGAAGAAGAACGGGTGAGTGCTTAATTTATTAGGAACTTCCTTGTACTTTTATATCTTTACCAACAGTAACTAAATTTACTACTGGTTTAAAAGTATTGAAAATGAGATATGAAGCCTGGAATAATTAAACTTCCCTTGATGGATAGATTTTCCGCCTTTACCCGCATAGCCCTAACCTCACTTATACGGTTTTCATAGCAGGAAGTACTTTGTTTATAGCCTTATATATGCCAGTATTCATTATTACAAGTAGAAAATTACTGACATCAATTTTTCGGGTAGGGGTTAAGGCGACCTAGCTACCCTAGAAACAACATTTCGGCAAACATTTGTTGTACCTGATCTTGAATCACGTCACCAGAACAAAAGTCATTCTCGTCCCACTCGACCTTGCGTGCTCGCGTCAAACCCTTGAGATCTCAAAAGCGCGATCCACTTACCAGCGGATCTCGCAAGGCATTCCTCTGGGTCAGCTCCTCATCACTCATGTACCTGTCCTCATTTTTAGAGATGGTAACACATATTTCGGGGAGAGTATGACCTATATTATTAAATAGTATTTGAGTGCGAAAGGCTCAATATGAGTGCCGAAAGTTATCTTGTCCTTCAGTTCTAGATGCGCTGTACCTTCGCTCCAGAGCACCCTAGTCTTTGTTATGAGGGAAGGGAGCGGGTCAGTAGCTGTGCAAATATACCTCTTTCATCCTCTCGGAGGTGTGCTGAAATAAGGCTAAAGATATCTGGATCTGAGGCTCCACCGCACGCAAACTTGCAGCACGTGCCGCGCTGTACCATCAGCTATATATGTCTAGTAAAGCCGACCACGCTATCGTTCTGCCCTCCCTTAGTTGGTTAGAGGGCTGCTGTTCTCTGCACTTGGGCGCGATAGGCAGCTTACCGTTCAACTTGTTCGCTTACCTTGGCATTGACGCACATACTGCACATTGTGGGCATCGGGTGGAGGCCGAAACGACATCCATCCGTCACTACGCTCCAGCGCTGCCATTCAAATGATTGAAGGGCGTATTTCAAGCTGCTGGTCCGCTCACCTCCCATCACTTGGATCCACCTCAAAAGTGAGGATAAAGCATGTTTCAATGAAAACTATGACATGTATCTGAAGTACTGACTGTAGCTTGCTGTCTGTCGCATTGTTTTTCACAAAAGAATCAAGGAGCTGCGCGGCAGGTATCCCGGTTAGATCATTCGGTGAGGATCAGCCTGTCATCAATGAAAACTGGGATATGTATCTGGAGTACTGACTCTATGGGTGCTCATCGCGCGTGGCGATCATTGGTGTATTGTCAGGTCTACTGCTGATAGGAGTGAAGAATTTATAAAAACATATCAGTTGTTCTGAGGTGCTTTCATTGCGATGATGTTCTAGAGCTTTGCAAGTTTTGTTTTGTGGAATTTTCAACAAAACACAAAAAAAAAAAAAATATTCTGGTTATGCGTCTAGAGATTTGTTTGGAGTAATAGTGTCCGCTGATGTCAGCGGTTCAAAATTAATCAATTAAAACGACATTTTGGGATTACTGTTACCGATCTGCTATCTCTACCTCACCTGCGGTGCATGTTGAACAGAGCAGGTACTGCTCTGGAGAGAACAGGGAGGGTTCCCGTAAAATATGTTCCGCCCCTGGATTTTTAAATCCGGTACGATCCCCTTTCACAACAGATCAGTCGTCTCACGGAAGTTTCCGAAGGCTAGCTGTCGAACGGAAGGCTAGACATCTCTGGTCAACTATCAGAAACACTAGTTTTGCAACACCACCAACTAAGCGAGGAAGGGGTGCTACAGTGAAGTGGAACGGTAAGCTCAACAATGGGACTGTTTCTAGATCAGTTACTGCCCTCCTTCCCTACAGCAGCCGAATACGATCCGCCCTATTCCCTCCAGGACCAAATACGACCCCACTTGAGGGTGCTCAATGTGGGACGTCTTCTGATAATAAAACATGTGCGATGATAGCGACTGAACTTATCGGAAGACTTGCACGACTTCCATGGAAGGGATCTGCTGCTTAGGATTGAAGCACTTCACGATGTCATCTTCCCTTGTGTCACCCAGGCTTTTCGAAAAACCATGAGGGGGTCATTATCATAAATATTCTTTGTTAAGGTAAAAGTATTCATATGCTGTTGAACATCCTCAGGTTGTCGGGCTTTCAGAGCACTGAATGTTCCCGATCCTTAGCCTAACTCAGTTAGGTTACAAATCCTGGAAGATTTGCTATTTTGAAGTGATCTTGTTGCCGGGAACCCTAGTTATTTTTTTGAATTTTCACGTCACTCTACTCTTTATTAGCGGAACTCGTAGGGATGAAGTGCCTGGTTGCGCAATCACGACAAATCCAACTGGTTCATTCCAAACAGCGCCTGATAGTCGTTGCATCCGTCATCTACGCTCTGTTGAGCAATTTCCTAATGAAGGTGTACATTCCTTTGGGATTTCATGGCTTTGAACGCAAACTATTGGACTGTTACGCTTATTACATTATGAGAATCTTCCTTTCAAGGCGGCTAGTTCTCTCTTCGCTTTGTAATAATTTAATTGGCAATCGATTGGAGAAACAGTTATATCCAGTTGAAAGAGTTAGCCATTGAAAGCGGCGATAGCACTTAATGTTGCTAACGAAGCTTCTCGTCGAGTGCAATTTTGAAATGACAATTGACGTTCCTCGGATACCTCTGACCCCATTCCGTAGGGTTGCTTCATCTCATGGTCGGAAAATTGGTAGCAGAGTTCCTTCTTTTCTTCTTCTTCTTCACAGCATAGCGCTAATCCCGTGCTGTTCTTGGTATCAGGGTGGAATGATGTTTGGAGAATCTCACTGGTGGGTCGCTTGGGTAGTGGGAAGGGGAGGGGTCATACCTCGCCTTGCCAGAATTTTCGGAGCCACTAAGCGAGTGTTTCGGCTGTCGAGTTTCTCCTTAGTAG